GTGAAGAGACTCGACGTGCAGTCTCGTCCTTCTCCACATACAAGTATCTTCGTACGGGAATACCTGACTGCAACACCGCAGCCAAACCGGTGCTGATCCCACCAAAAAGATCCAGCAAACAAACGCCCTCTGAGGAATACTCCCATGCAATAGGTGTAGTAACCAATGGAGACAATGCGCTAAAACCACCAACTAGCCGATCAGCTGAAGCCCTCTCTAGCTCTGCTGGTAAAGAGGCTTCACTCCAAGCCTTTTTTACCAACCTATCAGCTTCCAACTGTAGTGCCTGGCACGAACTCCACAGTGGAACATCTAAGGGTGAAGTCACCGCCGCTGTGAAACTCACAACCTCCTCCACATCCTAGTAGACTGAGGTATCGTCGGCAGACATGTTCCCCTCCAACAAGTCATCGGGCCAGGTAAGCACTCCGCTAAAACCTGCTACAGATGCCAAGACCGCTGACGAAGATCCAAGAGGTCGATCCCGAGAAATAAATCTCACTGGCAGCTCGCTCAAACGTCCATCTCCGGACTGCCAACCAGGACGATATGCGGCAGTCTCCGTCCAATAGTCCATCCGGAAGCCCATCGGGTATAACACCACTCCACCAACAAGCACATCATATGACTCTGCTGATGTAACCACAGCACGAACTCCAAACTGCGAGCTATCATGAGGGTGATCATGCCTCAACTGCACCGCTATGCTCTCCCTGGTCATAAAGTAAGACCTATTGCTGGCACCACCAAGGGATGTCTGGATCTGGAATGGGCAAGGTTCCAACTCGGACCTCCGAATGCCCAAACTAATGCATGCAGCCTTGCCCAACATCAAGGGCTGTGCACCAGAATCCAACAAAACTCTGGCTGGGACATACACCTGTCCAGTAGAACTCACTAACCGAAATAGACCACTTCGGTTGTCCACCATACATACACCAGGGACAATACTCTCGCGATCAATGGCTGGGCGAGCTGGTAAGGACTCCATCCTCGCCGCTGCGGCCTGCCAAGTCGTCTCCTCGAACAATGTAGACGTTGAGGATGGGTCCTCAACTGTATAATCACTTATCTCGGCACTAGTAGCAGCGACTCTCCCACGCTCACACGACGTGGCTGCTACCCGAAATACTCGAGCCAAATCAATACCAGAGTCTATCAACTCCGTGGCTGAGAACAATGGAGATCGCAAGACTGAAGTGGCCATCCGCATCACTGCACTAGATGGCACGTCTGCGTCCACCACAGATGATGTAAGAACCTCAGTTCTCACTCTAGTGTCACTAGGCGGTGCAGGTCTCATAGATGAACTGCTACCCACCTCTGACAACAAAAAGGACTGGGGAAGTCTAGACTGACGTCCACCCTCACCCCTCTGAGGATCCAACTCCACAGTCGCACCACGTGGCTCTGAAGTGCGAGCACCACCTCTGGTCACTGCAACTGATGCCTCAACCTGTGCTGCACTGGCCAAATAGGAGAAATCCTCTCCCTCGTAAGATGTGGAAGTGCTCGCCCCCAGACCGGCCATAGCAGCAAGCCTCTGCTCCAACTGCTCAATCCGAGCAGCCATAGCGCTCTCTGTGGCAGAAGTAGCACTCGCTGCGGTACGCTCAATGGCCCCGGTACCTCTACCACCTCTACCACCTCTGCCACCTCGACCACCTCGGCCTCGCGGAGCATCACCTCCACGACCTCTACCTCCAGATCTCAACTCCGGATGAAGGTCAAAGCAACGCTCTCGAGGGTGACCCGGTCGATGACAATGATCACAGGTCACCTGTGCCGGCTGTGGCCTAGCTTGTGGAGTTTGTCCCTCTCGCTCCTGGGGACAATCCTTCCTCATATGGCTACCTCCGCATGTCCAACATGACGGTCCCTGTGGCTGACCCGAAAATGAAGGCAGTGGTGGCCGCGCACTAGGCTCTCTGTGACCTGAAGGATGTCGTGTATGACCTCCACGACTCCCACTTATGGGGCGAGACTGTGCTGGGCTATGTGGGATACGCGAGGTAGTGGTCGTGTCCCTCGCAAATGTAGACGTCACCACCCTCTCCTCCACCATGTTAAGCTCAATCTTCTCAGAAAGAGCAAACACATGGGCTAATGTGGGTGATGAGTCGCTCATGAGAGTAGCATCACGCACTCTCCTCCGCAACTCTCTGTCAAGGATCCGATACCAGTACTGGACAGCCTGTGCCTCAGTCACACCGTGAGTAACTGAGATGAGCCGTCGCATACGAGTGTATGCCTCACGAAGACTCTCACCAGTCTTCCGCTCAAAATCCTGGAGGCTCCTCAACTTCTCCGTTTTCACCCCTTGATAATTCTTCCTCAATCTCTGGAAGAACTCAGGAATGGGGCTAAACGAAGGTACGCCACCAGCATCTCCCCTTGTGCTGCCACCGGCAATGCTAACAGTACCGCTGCTGGTACTAGTACCAGTTGCGCCAACTGCTCCACTGGTACCCTCGCTGATGCTACTACTCGCACCTCCACTGATGCCGATACTCGCAGCTCCACTGGTACCCACACCACCCTGGGTAATGGATGAGTAGTTCGGAGACCAATGCCGTCTCCATGCATCAATCTCTACAGCATACTCTCTCCCAAACTCATGATAATCGTCCATGGGAGGCCCCTCCAAATGCTGGAATAATCCCTTCCATGCAAAGAAGGGTGTAAACAACGTGGGGTTACGCAGAAACTGCATATCACACCACGTGTCGAACTCCTGAATAAAATCATCAAGCTTGATGGTGCCCACTGCACCAGAGTAACGTCGAGGTCCTTTTGCGGCCCCGTACATCCCGTCCATGTCCCAAATCAATGGGGTGGGGACACTAGACGATATCACCACCAAAGACTCTCTGTCTGCAACACTCTGGTCCTGCTCCGCAACAACTGGCGAAATAGGTGAAGGTAGCCGATACCTCAACCCACTCCGCGTAAATCCCCCGCGGTCCTCAACAGGACCACTAGACTGCTCCGTGATGGCGAGACTTCAACTGGCACCACTGCCAGATCTCCACCCAATAACCCAATCCGCCTCTGATGCCGTGCTGCACTTAGCTACTCTAGCCCTACTAGCTAAGGTGTATGGGCAACCTAACCTGTCATCACAGCAAGAAGACTCTCACGGTCTACTGGTCATCACTCCAGTCTCACCGTGAGAGAAACATAGATAGACCGGCCGGTGATCAAGTCCAGCCCCCTATCGCCAGCACACAGGAGTAAAACAACTCCGGAAATCAGCGTCACCCCTACACGGGCGCGCACCAGGAAGCAAGACTGGAGAGGATCCAAACACAAGCAACCAGCTAGCAACGACTCTCCAGTCTAAAGGAAACACAGCACAAAACAAGACAACACACACGGGACATCGCATCGCTTCGCGATCCCGATTCGATCTCCATCGCCCTCCATTTACGTGGGCCTCCAGTGCCTATGATGCCCTCTTCCTCCAAATCCAAACAAAAATTGTTCGAAAACTTCTTCTTTTTTTTTTCTTTTTTTTTCTTCTTTCTTTTTCTTCTCCTTCACACAGGGGTCACACTGCCCCTCAACAAACACACTACACCATGAAAGCTCAATATATTGACTACGTCATATATATATTTACAATGCTTTCAAAACATTATGTTTACAGGTAGTGAGACCGGGTGCAAACTCCCGATCCCTTCAGTACCTTTTGTCTAAACGCTACAGGTAGTTGCTATCAATCCTTTGGAAGATTATCGAGAAATTTCTCTAGTACAAGAATTTCTTTTGAAAGACAGTCTTGAACATACTGAACATCTCTCAAATGGTCAGCAATATCCTGCGGAAGGTCTAGTAACTCATCCTCACATACCCTGTACTCTAGGCCGGATTCCTCTAGAAGTTTTTCCACGACTAGTGCCTCGTCCCAATCTAACCCGGAATCTTTTTCTTCTACCACAACAGTGTTTTTCAGATTCCCTTCTACTTGAGGCTGCACTGTCCCCTCCTGCTCCTGATCACGTTCCTCGGTGCTGACGAACTCCACTGTCTGGATTTCTTGTATATTACTGTCGTCTGCTTTTCCTTCAAGCGGCATTTCTTCTTCACGCGTCAACACTTCACGTCGCTGGAATCTTGTGCATGCGGCAGACGAACAGTGGAAAGTTCTAGTACCAGGTGCCGGATACTAAGATAGCTTGATAAATCCCTTTTGTCTCGTACCTTCCACTCCCTTCTACTGCTAAATTGACATCACATTCTGATACAACCTTCAAAGGACCCCATACTGAAACTGAAACTAAAGCCTTAAACGACACCGATCCAACCTCACTACTAGAACAGTACTGGAATTTGGTGGCATGCTTCCTCCAACATGTACCGAATAATTTTTAAAGCGTTCACTGCTCACCACTAAGCCTTTGAGTGCTTCAAATGAAACTGCCAAATTTCGACGGACCTGTGGGTCCTGCTGTATGACACAAGCCGACTAGGGCAATTTCTTCTCAAATAATCACTTGCTGTGATAAATACTTTATCCGCTAAAGAGTTGCACAAATAGCTTATTCCGGCGACTGATGGAAAGGGGCTTAGTGTATGTAGTCCTCACAGGACATCAAACTTTGACTTAGTTTTTCTAAAAAAAACAGATTGGATAAAGAGATCAGGTGTGGGTAGACAAGATCCGGAGGACAGTTCACACAGGGTATTCACTTCCCGAAGAAGATAAAGAATCCGTCTACAAAACTGAGGTAATGTTTACAAGGCTTTGACTGTGTTGGAATTTCTGGTTGCCAATGGAGCTGAGCGAATCATAGATGAACTCCAAGAACATGCCTATCAAGTTCAGACCTTGGTGGACTTTCAATATCTGGAGGCTGGGGAAAAGGATCAGGGTATTAATGTCAGGAAGAAAGCCCAAACTCTCGTGGGCCTATTAAACGACAAGGAAAAAATATGCGAAGTGCGAAACAAAGCAGCCTCCAACAGGGACAAGTATCGAGGTTCGGGTACAGTGTTCAGATCCAAGTCTAGCAAGTATTCCAGTACGGATGGAGGCTACGGTGATCGAGAAGATGAGGATCGTTATGGCGCGAGCAGTCGATCTGGTGGAAGAGATGAAGATGGTAGGTATGCAGGAAACAGGGATAGGGAAAGGGACAGAGATGATCGATACAGGGATGACGATCGGTCCGGAAAAGATACTAATGGGGACCGTTACAGAGACGACAAGTATGGTGGTGATCGAGATCGAATTGAGGATGACAGAAGTTACGGAGGCAAAGGTGGAGATCGAGGTTATAACGACAGGTATGGGGATGAAGGTTCGGCCTCAGGTTATGATAAAGATCGCGAGAGGAACTACGAAGAAGAAGATCGCTATCCTGCCAGGGTTGGAGGAGGCAACAGAGCCGATCGGGGTGATCCACCAGAATACCCGGGCGAAGAGCGGGACGCTAGTGGCCTCGCCGCATCAGTAGCTAAAGCTCAAACTAGTCAGACACAGGTGAGTCAGCCTCAAGCGTCAGCCACTGCTAGTCAAAATGGTGAGCGCAAGTTACAAGCCGGAGGTTCTTCTGGAGGTTCTTACTTTGCAACCAAGCAAGATGAAGAGGAGTTCGATGACTTTGATCCGCGAGGGGCCTTCAGCGCTACAGGTCCAGGTTCTGCCCGGCAAGATGAGGATCCTTTCGGCAGTTCTGCTCCTCCTCCTCCTCCACCGCAAACCCTAAGAAGGCCAAACCTCGCTCGTCCTCGTCCTCCTCTACGAAAAGAACGTCTTCTGTCACACCATCCACAGTCCAACAACAACAGTCCCGAGTCTCCGCCTCCTCCTTTGGCCGACGTATTCGTCCGGAACAGAGCACTGATACATACCATACGCATCCACTACGGTAGCAAAAGCACCTCGAGCGCCACCGCAATCACCATCATGACGAGGAGAAATTCCTCTCCTCTTCGTTTGTTCCTTCGTTCCAGCTACTTATTTCTTACGCTATGGGATTCTCCGACTGCACGAGCTGCAGCAACACCGATGCGCTACGACAGTAGTGGTTCTTATTTGGCGGCACCAGCACCATCACAGCAACATCGCCTCCTGCCTCCGCTTCCTGTTTCGTCGTCGATGCTAATGCTCCTCCCACTCCCAGTCCTTTCCACTCCTCCCCCGTCGTGGACGTTCGCTGCCAACACCTCCTCAGCTTTCTAATTTGTATGATATAAACCCTGGCAACCAAGTTAAGAGTGCAATCGTCGATATCACACTCTCGACATCCACATCCTCAATGACCTAGTGATCGAGGACTTGATCAGTGAGAAACAGGTAGCACACTGATCTTCAGTGCTCGACGCAGAAGACCGAAATTCCTCGATACATTCACCCCCTCTATGTCGCACAATTTACCTCCCGTCAGATCCAGGAAGTAACTCAGGCCCGAACATACCCGAACTCACCAACTCACACACGCGACGGAACACACAGAAACGTAACAAATTAACAAACTTTCTCGTGATCCCGCACTGCAGGACCCTCACCGCAGTTCTTCGAGTGAAATGTACGGGAATTCTCCACTGGAATTCCCGTCGGTCAATTACCCTACTGGCAACAAACCGTCACCGTCACAAACATGAGTCAAGCCCAACCCACTCCACACTCGGAGAATCCAGGTCGACGCAAAGGGGAAAGTCACTCTACGCTCCCAACGCTTCCAGGCTCGACTCGAAGAACTGACGTTCTTCGAGCCGTCCCCGACTCTATACCCCTCGTGACCGGAACCCTAACTTTACGGCTAAATATAGTAAGTGTCTGAACTTCGTGAGCCGACTCGTAACTACATGACAGCTTTAACTTGTTTAGGTAGATATTATTGCTTTAGTCCAACAATGGGTGCATCATGATTGTTCACCAACAATTTCTTTCTCAAAAATCAATCTGAAACATATAACCTTTGATACCTAGGCCACCGGGATTTTTCTTATTTTTTAAAGTTAGGAGAAAGACAACTAAATTTGATACATTAATACATACATTAATGTGAATCTGCTCTTTTGAGTCTTTTAGATAATCAAATTTTGCTACAATTTTAGAAACCACACATATTTATAAGAGAAATCATATTGATATGTTTGCTATAGTATAACCACTCCAAGGGTTATCATCTATCATCAAAAAAGTGAGTTTTGTAGGCTGAAAATAGCTTCAATTGCCGATTGAAGATATTTGAAAGATAATATTTACTTTGAAATATGCTTTAATATGAAATGATAGCATCTGTTGTGCTATCAACCTGCAATAGTTATTTATTCACCTGCCACACCACTTAATCTGACTTGGCCCGAGGTCTTCTTTCTAGCTTTTTGATCAAGATGATTAATTGTTCATTCTTCCTCTCAGTAGATGATACTTGTATGATGGTGACACTGTAATCTGACTAGTTAATAGGGGTCTTGTTCAGGATGGTGATCAGGATGATAGTCCAAATCCAGCTACGAAAGACTGCAAAGAATGACGATTCTAGTTGATACTCTATTTCGTTCTGAACGAGATGTTCATGCTTACATTCTTCACAAGCCACTCTTTAAACTTTTTCAATTTCTTTTTCTTACGAAAGTACTATCGAACACGGCTCCTCTACATAATTCGGCATCTGAACCATATGCCTTTATCATGAGATGCAATTGCTGCACATAACTCTTCTTCTTCCTGAACCTGCTCTCTTTCTTCCCACAAAATCTGATACGCGACGCATCCTGAGTAGTCTTCAGGAAAGCGTCGCAACATGATCCGGTCCACATATACAGAAGGGTACGTTATCATGAATGTTTTTTTCCCTACTCTCCAGATCTATTAGCAATCCTGATATTCCACGGTAAAGTCCAAGCTGATTTCGTAGGTTTTTCAAGCATTAATCAGAAGGACATGTAGGTTCAAACTTGCTTTAAACTTTAAGAAGAATATCATCACAGTGGAATCGTAATATGAAGAATAATGCGTCCTGTCTCATAAGTAACAAATCAATTCTGTCCTCTTTCGTTACTTCCGTTCTTCTTCGCTATAGAGATGACACTATCCTAACCTATGATACAAGAAAGAAGGCAAAGTTTGATGGTACAACATCACAGCCTTCATTGGAACCTTAAAGCCTTTGCGTTATGCAAGACTCGAAAAATGAATTCTTTCACCATTCTCAACTCAAATCGTGAATACAAAGCATCTTTTGCTGCCAACGATCGTCTGTACAAGTTGTCTGGACATGGATGTCACCTCTAGTGTTTGGGGAATATCGACGAACAATCTATGCTTGAAGAACCCTTTGATAAAACTCCAATAGCTTGAAATTGAGAGATTCAAGCCACTTCCGTTTCCAAAGGGTAGTCTGTCAAAAACTGGATAAATGGAAGAAGTTGAGAAATCGTGACAGGAAACTTCAACTTTCTCCTCCTCCTTCGCTCTTCTGTTCCGCTCCCAAACTAGAGGTGTTTCTTGCATGTGTTTCATCTATCAGATGCTGAGCCGTAGGCTTTTCCAAAAAAAAAGAGCTGAAGCTGGTCATAACCTGAAAAGACGTCTACTCCAGCAATACCAAGCAAGATGTTCGCAACTGTACCTCTAAAAAAAGCTGTTACTACTTCTTTAACCACAATCTGCGTGAAGGCATCGACAGTGCCCTTGTACTTCACAGCTTCACCCGAGGTCATCATCATCCTTTGCCGGACCGTGTCAAAAGGATAAGCAACAATGCCAGCCGTAGTAGTAACAGCCCAACCAAGGAGAAGCTATCATGCAAGAACCAGGACCTCACGTTTCAGACCATTGAAGTATCAAACGCCTACCTGAAAACCAGACGCCGAATGCATTTTGTCCCTAATATGAGGTAATTTTGCTCTAGGGGAGCAAGCATGTACTTCCAGACCGTACAGATTTTCATTTGACTTAACCTTGAACCAAGAGACCCAACGGCACATGTATAGAGATCGTTGTTTTTCAGTTCAATTGAAGACTAAAAACTGGGCCTTGCAATCTAGCTGTCCAATGAACTTATTGGTCATCACTATTGAATTTACAAGCTTCGCACTCTGGTAACGTCTTCAAATTGGAGATATAAATGATGTGTTACTACCCTTCAGACTTCCTATTCGCATATGGCACCACCAACAAGAGATGTTACCTCCATGGATACCACCAAAAGTACTGGCTTCGCAGAGTCGTACATGCCGAAGTAGAGTCCTCTATACACAACAATGCCAACGATAGAAGCGTTGAAACCCATGGGAAAACTAAGTGTGCAGTCGGAAAAAATCGGTCCTCCAGTGCACATCAACAATGAACAAATGCAGTAGTAGGATAAGCTCAGGAGCAGTAGAGGTATAGTATAAATTGGTAATTTCAAATGTCGCTTCAGCAGTGGTGGGAGAACTAAGTGTGCAGTACGGAGTAACCAATCCTCTAGTGCACATCAACAATGAACGAAGAGCATTTCAATTCCGTCACGAAGACTTGGCTACTCCACTAGAGTCTATCGACGTGCAAAGGTTTCTGCACTGTATAGTGCCGTGTCTGAGTAGAACTCCAAGCCCAAAAGATGGACAGTACGAGAAACATTCCGCTAGAGGACTGAAAGATATACCGTTCCACTAGAAACACTAGTACAGAAATAAACGGAAGGGAATTCATCCATGAATGAAAACCGAAAGAGCAGTATTTTGCTATAAAAAGCATTCAGACATCAGGAAGCAATGTGTTCACAATATATTTAATACAAATTGGCATGTAGTCATAAAAATTCATGTGCCAATATGGAGATATATGTATAAAATTCAAAATCTCAAAATTCTAGACATAGAGATCACGCGAAGTAAACTTTTGAACTTTCCAACTGAAAAACTAGCTTTTTCGCTTGTCAAGTACCTACCAAGTTGTCTTCGACAAGAATCCGTCGGACAAGGAGAAAAAAAATAACCAAAAAAATGGAACTTACCTCTTGACTATGAATATATTCACTATACCGGATCATCATTTAGATTGATTGTATTTGTGTCAGCTGAAAGCTCCTACCTAAACGTTTTGGCAGGGAAAATCTACTTGTAGGCAAAGAGATCCTATTCTTATCAGTTTGTGGTTTCCAACTTTTGCGTTTTCCACACAGTTGAGTGCTACGCCTCAACAACTCTTCTCTAATTGTCTCTTTTTTTCTTCCTTGAACCTCTGGGATAACATCAAGAAGAAGTATGTTATCACAAATGACATCACTAAACTCTGATATAACGTTGTGCAGAGCTGGACTATCATTGGTAATATCCAGATAGCTACCGCTATCACCGTGAACATCTTCAAGAGGCAAGTTTAAATCCTGTAAGTTGTCACAAGTGGTTACATATCAGCCGCAGTAAAAATAAAAATGAAAACAAAGACAAAACTAATACATACATCTCATTATACTATAAGAAATTCAATGCATTTGAAAGTCACTTACCAAATAATTTCTTGTATCAATTAGACATCATTTTTTCTTCAGATAGTCCTTCAGAATTGAATGACTTCTCTTTGCACCATGATACTTGTCAACGATCCCGAGCCTTCTTCTCAATGTCAAGCCACTTGG